AAACACTGGGATGGGTAATATGAAGACCTTGCTCAAAACAGGTGGGGTCAATTTAAAAAACCAACATTTCTTCAGCACCTACTATGTGTGGGTAACACTATGTTAGACACTGTGGGGATATAAAATTAAACAAAACACCTTTCCCTATGATTTGGTTGGGAAGATAAGACAAAGACTGGCAACATTCATGCATACAAAGTTTTAAGATTCTTAAAGTTCAGTATCATTTTCAACTTCAAGACTTTTAATATGAAGCCCCTCAGCAGTCAATAAGATATTGTTTTAAGAAATATTAGATATGGAAACTGACTTGCCTAGTTGAGATCTCAGCAAAGCTCAACAAGCCTAGACTTGAAACAATTTTCTTAGAAAGTGGACTAAGACAAATTGACATGGAAATGTAAATTTTAATACCATTTAGGAGTATTTCTCATTTCTCTGTGTCTCAAACAGTATATTATGAGCCTTTTGGAAAGAGGCAAGATCAAGGCTGGAAAGGGAAGAAAGGATTCATAGAGAATCCGAAAAGACAAGAGGAATAAAAAGATATTCCTATTCAGGAAACTAATTTTTAAAACTATACCTATGAATTATCTGTTTAAATGATGATGTTTACATTATGTGTTTAAATGATGTTTATCTGATGGCTGTAATGTAAAATATGACACTTTAAGAAAATAAGTAGGGCTTCCCTGGTGGCGCAGTGGTTAAGAATCTGCCTGCCAATGCAGGGGACATGGGTTCGAGTCCTAGTCTGGGAAGATCCCACATGCTGCAGAGCAACTAGCCCTGTGAGCCACAATTACTGAGCCTGTGTGTCTGGAGCCTGTGCTCCACAACAAAAGAGGCCGCAATAGTGAGAGGCCCGCGCACCGCGATGAAGAGTGGACCCCGCTCGCCACAACTAGAGAAAGCCCTCGCACAGAAACGAAGAGCCAACACAGCCATAAATAAATTAAAGGCAAAATTCCTTTTTAAAAAAAAAGAAAATAAGTAGAAGGTGCTTTAAGATTTTACGATAGGCACTTAGCCAAAGGTAATTGGAGGGATTCTAGAAAAGGTATTAGAAAATGAAAATGGTAAGATCATTATGTGAATAAGAGATAAGATGCATTCTGTGCAAAATGCCTAATGTCTTTTTACTGGTGCCTAAGACAAGCAGTAGTAATGTCCCAAGGCATTATCAACTTAATTTTTCTGGTTTATGTCAGTGCGACACTGGGATGGCTTAGACATTTAGTTTTTAATTTCATTTAACTTAATCAAACCTTGAGTGACTACTAAGTGGTTAGCCTCAGAGACCAGCTATGACCAATGAGCTGAACAAGGGTTGGCTGAGCACCAAAGGAGCTCATCAACTGAGCATTGCGTCCTAGGGTTCTGGAGAGTATAAAAGGGGATGCAGTAGTTTCTGAACAACAGGATGTAAGACAGGTAAGTAGAGAAAAAGCAGGTAGTGAAAGCAGGTACTGTAGTAATGGACTAAGGGTATGAGTTAACATGAGTAGTCAGAGTATAAGCACTGATGTTAAAGAAAAAGGTATGTGTGTGGGCTGGGGTGGGGGATTGGGGGAGGATGCTCTCATTGAGTTGGGGTTGAGCTGAACCTTAAGTTGGGGGGCAGGAATTTTGAGTTTGGAGAGTGGGAAGTGAGTAGGGAACAGATCTTATTTATTGGGGAAGATAATCATACTGGCTTATTGTGGAAAAGAAAATTCACTTTGGAAAAGCTGTAGGAAATAAGTTGATACATGTGCTGGGGGAGGCATCATTTAAATGCCAAAGAAAAACATTTAAATCTAATCTTGAAAGTTACAGGAAGTTAATAGGGAAGGGACACAAATCTGTACTAAATATTGAATGTAAAACAAGCAGCAACAATACTTAAGAAAGGTATCTTCCTTTTTTCCTACATTTTCGGCATCAAACATGTTCTTGTGCTCAGAAAAGAGGGAGAAATTAAGAGGGTGAACCAGAAGAACTGTTGAACTCTCTACCACTCTGGGATGCACAGGATTACCTCCTAGGTGATTGGGCTATTGAGTGAAGGCAAAAGTAAAATTCAACAAAACACCCCAAGTATGAGGCAGAATTGGGGAAACCATTGAGGTTCTTGCGCTTCAGGGGCTCCAAAGAGCCCTTGTTTGTGTTTAAATGTACAATGGCAGCCATGTCTCATCACAGAGTGGGCCCCATTTCTGATGAGGGAAACAGAAGTTGCCAGGGCTTAGTCCTAGGCAAGTTACTTAGCCTCTTTGAACCTGTCTCCTCATCTGTAAAATGTGGGCAGTGGTAGTCCTCACCTCACAATAAGGGCTTTTGTAATGTAAGCATGAGGCAACGCTTGTTGATTGCTTAGCAACGGTGGTTGGTACATAGTCAATGCTCAATATTGCAGTCATTATTAATACTTTAAAGAATAATCTTATAACCTAGAGAATTACTTGTTACATTGCCTAGATGGGATGAGATGCCCCTTTGTCTGGGTTTGGACCCAGACCCAGGCCTAAATTTGAACTAAACTGAACTTCTGGGTTTGGTGGCATGGCAACGGGGCGGGGTGGGGGCGAGTCGCAGGGTGGGAGGCTCTGGTGCAAGGTGTTGTGGCCATAGGAATATTAAATTCCATGTCAGCTTTCGGTTTAATTTGGCACCGACTGTTATTCAAACAAAGCAGCGTTGTGAGTGGCAGAGGAAGGGAGAGGAGGAAAATCAACACATTCTTGGAAATAAGATGTGGCTTTTGCTTTGACTATTTTGTTTTTTCTTCAGCCACAGAAGTATTTATTTGCTCTCAGGCTCACAATGAAAATCCCTTTCAGGACATGGTACAAACCTAAGCTTCAGATAAAACTTCCATTTAAGATGACAAGAATTTAGCAAGACTTCCCTTCATATTTTTTTGTTTTAATATGAGAACCCCTCAGATAGTGCTATTTAGTTTAGGGAGACAGCTTTAATTATACTTAGAGCCCCCCTCAACCTCATTTCCTGTAGCTATGGCATATGTGGTACTTTAAAAGTTGATGTCTGCTTTATGCCTGATGACCTTGGCTTAGTGTTTACAAGATGTATAGTTGTATCATTTACCCATTCTCTCCAAGCATTTATGTGTTAGGCTTTTCTAATTTTAGGATAAGATTTTAGTATAAAGTGTGGCAGTGCAATAATTCTCCAGTAGTTGCTCCCTTGGACCTCGGACATCTGGCATGGTGCTATAGGAGCTGGTCCTAGGTCAATATTTGAAGCACAGGGAAGCTCTGTGTGACCAAGTTAATGGAACTTTCCTGTTTTCTGGTTCTGTGGTATATGTTTAAAGCAAGGTGTTTTTTTTTTTTTTTTTTTTTTGCGGTACGCGGGCCTCTCACTGCTGTGGCCTCTCCCGTTGCGGAGCACAGGCTCCGGACGCGCAGGCTCAGCGGCCATGGCTCACGGGCCCAGCCGCTCCGCGGCATGTGGGATCTTCCCGGACCGGGGCACGAACCCGTGTCCCCTGCATGGGCAGGCGGACTCTCTATCACTGCGCCACCAGGGAAGCCCTAAAGCAAGGTTTTGAGCAAAAAGTTTAGGTGTCCATCTCTTCTTCACTAATGCAGGACTTATTGTCATAGCAATACAGTAAATGTCCATTTGTAATGTTAAGCTTGTGTCAATGATGATGTAAATTGGTTGGTTAGGAAACTGATACTGTCTTCTAATCCCACGCCTCTAGAAATAACACACACACACACACACACACACACACACACACACACGACACAGTTTCTTCCCTCAAAGAGCTTATACTTTAGTTGAGAAACCAGACCTTAATAGACTAAAAAAAAAAAATCCCTCTCCTGAGGTTTCCAGTATTTAGGAGACCGTGAAGAGGGCTGTTTTTTTTTTTTTTTCATTCCACTTTATCCCAAAGTCTGACTTCGGGCTGCCTGTGGACATAAGGGACTGGAAACTTTCTGGTGATTCATTCTCATCCTGTTAACAGTTTAAGTCCTTAGGAACACATGGTCTCAAGTTCTAGGAAGATCTAAACAATTGGGAGAATTTCTTGGGGATAAGCAGACACCAAATACCATATACAGCTTGTATAATAGGGGAGATGATTGCAAAGCACAGTTTTCTCTAGTTTTGGCTTTGCTATTAGTTGTATGACCTATGATTTCAGCCTCTTTGTGATCAGCTGGTTCTTGATCTGACAAATCAGAAGGCTGGAATAATACAGTGCCTTTCAGTTTTAACATTTAAAAGGGGGTCACATTTACCTTGTATTCTCTGTAGTGCCTTCCCTTTTTGAAGTTTGTAGCTAATAGCTGAACTTACATTTCAGGATTAAGTACTTTAAAACACTTTTCCTCAACTCCCAAGTTACTCAGAGAATAAGGGAGGAGAGGGATAAAGGAGCTTGGCAAATTCTTGTAGAGAAATTCTAAAATTCATTATCTTTCATACCTACCTTTGGAATTCGTACAAGTGATTATTTCTTATTATTCTTATGCCCCCTCCCCACCTCATAAAACAATGTTCAAAAATCGAAAAGCACAAAACAGGAGAAAGAAATCAGCGTAATTCTACCATTCAGGTAAATTGCACTTTTCCTTTCGGTTTTTATCTAAAAACATGTGACTGGACGTATCGCTCTGCGATCTGCTTTTGTTTCTCTTTGGAAATATATATCTTGAGAGTATTTTGCTATGTCATAAAATATTCTTAGGTCACTTTTAACCTCTTTCCATTTCTGTTTCTCCTTCTAGGGCTCCAGGGGCCGGCGAGGCCGAATCTCAGAGCGCTGCTGGTGCTGCTGGTGCTAGAAACAATATGATAGTCATAAGGTCAGGGGGAGGGGTGGCGGGCGGGAAAGATTCCTTGAGCGAAAAAATGAAGCAAGCTCCCCTTTGAAGATCTAAGAAATTTCCGACACTAGAACCTTTTGTGTAGAGTTTTCGGCAACCTTCGGCAGGGGGCGCTCGGAAATTGCCGTCACTTTCCGGACAGCCTCCCGGACCTTGCCCTCTAGAAAACTGTACAGTGTTTCCGGCTCTTCTCAGTCGCAGACGCTCGTAACTTTTCGGCACTTTCCGGGGAGACTCGGGGGCTCCGCGCCTCGCTCACTCTGTTCCGATCGCCTGGCGCGGCGGGGCAGGGTCTTGGGCTAGTCATGGCGTCCCCGTCTCGGAGGCTGCAGACCAAACCGGTCATCACTTGTTTCAAGAGCGTCCTCTTGATCTACACATTCATCTTCTGGGTGAGACACGGAGACGCCCGGGGACGGGAGGGGATCCCGGGCTGGGGTCGTGCGGAGGGAGCTCGGATCGGGAGTGGGGAGGTGAGGCGCTGGTGGGGCTGGGGCGGCGGTCGCTGCTGGGACCCCGGCGCTGGTGACGACGTGCTGGGGCTCGAGCTCGGGTTCGGGCATCTCGCCCGCGCGGGTCGGGGTGTCGGGCGACGGCAGCTGAGAGGCTGAGCCGGGACCCAGACGTGCCTAGCTTTGGAATTCGATGCGGGGGGCGAGTAAGGGAGTGAATCCCCCCAGAGCAAACAGAGGGTGTCCCCGGACCATTGGAGAGGCAAGGCTTGCCCGGCCCTGGTGAGGGCTCGCTTGCATAATAGTCTTTTTCTTTCCACTGCTTCATAAGAGGGGAGTATTTTGCAGGTAAGTATGGTAATGGCTCCACTCCCGCCAGTCTGTCCTTGGGCTTGCTTTGTGTACCATCCCTTTGTACCCTGTGCTCATCACTGAACTGGGGGAAAGGGGAAAGTTTCTGGAACTCTTAGAAACACTCCCCCCGCCCCCACCCCCACCTGCGGAAAGGTTTTCTTCCTAAGGCGGGTGTAAAACAGTTAAGTTTTGATTCCTAGGGCAAAAAAACAGATAAAGTTTAAGAATTTTGTCAAGGTGCCTTCTCTAGCTGCCCCTTGGTTTTGTCCTGGCCACAGTGATCCAGCATGTGGATTTATCAAGGCCTGTTCTTGTGTACAGCCCCACCCCGCTTGTCTACCATATCCCAGCCACAGCTCTTTGGCCACAGACTGCTACATCAATTCTCACACCTATTGTTTCTTAAACACCTAGTGGTTTGTGGTTTGAAGATGTTGCTGTATACAGTGTGTAACTCTCAATTCTCTGATTTCCCACATAGATCACTGGTGTTATCCTTCTTGCTGTTGGCATTTGGGGCAAGGTGAGCCTAGAGAATTATTTTTCCCTTTTAAATGAAAAGGCCACCAATGTCCCCTTCGTGCTCATTGGTACTGGCACTGTCATTATTCTTTTGGGCACCTTCGGCTGTTTTGCTACCTGCCGAGCTTCTGCATGGATGCTAAAACTGGTGAGTCCTTGCTTTCTTAGAATTGGTTGTTGGTTTTTGAAAAGGCTTATATGTTGTAGGCTTTGTTTCTTGGAACTAGGCATGGCCCTTTTTGATTTTTCCTCTTCCTTATGAAAACTTAGCAAGTAACAGTGTAGCTGCCAATTCCCACCTTTGTGTTTTCCCTGCCCTTTTCCATAAAAAATGTGAACATTGACTCCCTTTGCAGCTGTGATGTATAAACTGACTTGGACTTTTCTTTTTATCCTGCAGTATGCAATGTTTCTGACTCTTATTTTTTTGGTTGAACTGGTCGCTGCCATCGTAGGATTTGTTTTCAGACATGAGGTAAGCCTGAGTTTGGGAACCTTAATATGTGAAAATTTATCCTCTAAGAGATAAAGCTGGATAAATTTAAGTAATAGAGTTAAGTGACAGCTTTCACTAGTTTAAAAAATCACTTACAGCTGTGTTTAAAGCTGACCTTTTTCAACCTGTAGCTGACAGTAATGACTTTCTGGTAAAAAAAAAAAACCTAGCCCACTTTTTTGGTAAAGACTGATTGATAGTCACCAGAAGAAAATTGAAGGTACCCATAATTATTTGTATTTGCAGTCATTTTTCTGTGTATAAGTACCTATTAAAGTGTAGATAGTACAATTTATAACTTTAGTGATAGGAAACTATTTAAAGCACAAAATTGATAACAGAAAATTGATACCTTCTCCACTCATCAAAACCTTAATAAATCTGCGGTTAGGAAGTCATTCAATGAGTACTGAAGGCTCATCAGTGAGAGTGGTAGTGCAAAGTGGTAGTGCATTCTCCCAGAGTGAGATTTTGTAGCTTAAAAATCCCATAGGCATCAAATGTGTACTCAATTGAAAGTGAAGAAAGATTGAGGGTGGGAGGAGATACAGCAGAAGGAAGCTGCCACTTGAATAAATATATGTTCCCACAGCACTTTGAACTTCTAGTCGTTATCATCTTTTACTGGAATGTTTTGCTTAGGAATCCCCTTAGCTAAACTTACATTGCTTAGAAGACAGGATTGGACCATAGAAGTTAATTACCATACACATTGCTGCTATCAAAGATAGGACCATTTGGTCAGATGTGGGAATTTCTTATTTGACCTAGAAACCAAAAGAACATTCTAAAATCTTTGTTTACTGGCCTTGTGTTTCTTTGCTGTAGATTAAGAACAGTTTTAAGAATAATTATGAGAAAGCTTTAAAGCAATATAACACTACGGGAGATTATAGAAGCGATGCAGTAGACAAGATTCAAACTACGGTAAGTGGTCATAGGTGGTGGATTCTCAAGAGGGGAACATATTCCTTATTCCCTCAGAGAAGAGGATAGGGCCCTGCCTACCAGACGTTGTCCATTTGTACTATAGCAGTGAAAGTAAGGCTAGTCCCAAAGTGCTAATCTCATGAATTATAATGCCAATAGAGAACAGCTGCTTTAAAATATGTCTTAAGCTAGAGATCACCAAGTATAATCTAAGATGATGGTTAAATTGTTTGACTACAAAGTGGTAATATGAACTATAAATGCTTCTGTTGGATTTTTTTCAGTTGCGTTGTTGTGGTGTCACCGACTATAGAGATTGGAAGGATACTAATTATTACTCAGAAAAAGGATTTCCCAAGAGCTGCTGTAAACTTGAAGGTTGTTCTCCTCAGAGAGATGCAGATAAAGTAAACAATGAAGTAAGGAGTAAAAAAAGAATTTAATTTTTACTCACAATACATGTAATCTGAAATAGGATAGAGCAGGTGTTATTCTCATTGAATAAATGAGGAAACTGAAGCTCAGAAAATTGGTGACTTGATTTCACACTTAAATGCATAATCCAAAAGGTGGAACCTGTGTTCCTCAAAGGAGACAGGATTTGTTATGAAAGAATAAATTTTAATAAAAGAACAATAAAAGGCTAAGGTATCTTTCGCAGAGATGTGTGATCAAAGTATTTATTATGGTTTGAGCTGTACTTAATGTTTTTTTTTCTCTTCCATTAGGGTTGTTTTATAAAGGTGATGACCATTATAGAATCAGAAATGGGAGTTGTTGCGGGAATTTCTTTTGGAGTTGCTTGCTTCCAGGTAAGTCCTTGTAGTTAGGAAATGTTTCATCACGCTTGTTAGGTGTAAGCTACAAGATTTCCACTTTGAAGGCTTCAGTTTTGGCTTCAGGGCCCTGGTTAGCAAGGGCATTTTTAGAGAAGTCATATTTTCACAAAACCCTCAGTTGCTCATCACAGTAGAGATGTAGTAGTTTTGCTCTTTTCATTGCAATTTTTGGTTGTCTTGCATCTTATGTTTTCCCACACTGTTTTCCACAACTACAGAGTTCTCTAAGACGTGCCCTGCTAGGTCTGTCTGAATATGCACTAATAGCTGCTAGCCACCTTTCAAAAGTTATGTGGCTAGTGGCCACCGTGTTGGACAGAACAGGTATTACAGAATATTTTCATCATCACAGCATTGTTTTAGAATCCTCCAAGAGAATCTCTGCCTTGATAGATGGAGATTTTACTTGATGAGATGCATATTCTAAGCCATATCCGTTTTGCTCTGATAACTGAGAGGAAGAGTAAGGAAAGTTTCCCCAAACTTCAAGATTTTCCTGAGTGATTTTTGTCAGTGGTGGTTGTGAAATTCCAATCACAGTAGTAGTTAGACTTCACTTATATGCTTACTCTAGAAAAAAACTTAAGAAAATTGGTAGTGAATTAGAAGTGAAAGGAGAATATACCTGTATCCTGAGGTCTTTAAGCTTTGTATGTATATGTGTGTTTAATTTTGCTTGTATTTTGTTTCCAGCTGATTGGAATCTTTCTAGCCTACTGCCTCTCTCGTGCCATAACAAATAACCAGTATGAGATAGTGTAACCAGCATAACACGGGCCTGTTCCTCTCCAACTTTAAGGTATGTTCATTTTGATCCTCAGCTCTCTCAGTGTTAGTGTTTACTCCAGCCTATACATGTGATGGATGGACTGAGTTTGCCAAGAAGGTCATGTCCAGCAGTGCATTCAAATGTTATTGTTACTGTGTAACCCTGCATAGGCACTTGTGTCTCAATACAAGTCATGGCCAAAAAGGACAGAAAGGCCTCTCTGGGTTTACCTGCACATGTCAGCCTAAAGATCCTAAGTGGTCCCCTTTCTAACAGATTTGGACCTAGTGTAGAGAAGTGAAGAATCCCAATAGTGACCTGGCAAGTACACTCTGCTCTTGGTCAATATCGGCATTTTCCCCTGGTCTTTTACCTAATTCTCATTTATTGCAGTCCTCTGGTGGACTGTTACTAGAGCCATAAACTCATCTAGCTTAACTAGATTTTGGAGAAACATGTGCTTCAATAACTTCAGTATTTGAATGGTAAAACGTGAGAACTGTAGCTGGCTGAATTAATCCCTGGGGCGCCCTTCACATTTGAATTGAGCCACTGACTGGGAACACGTGAAGGTCTTCATTAGCAGACTAGATTAAAATGTGTGGAAAGGAATACAGATATTGAAATTTGGGTTATAAGTAAATTAACTTTTTTTCTTTAATTTTAGGATATTAACATCCCCACCCCCAACCCTGTGAATTACAAGATCGCCTGGATGGAAGACCGACATTTATTACAGATAGATTGAAAAACTATACCAGTAGTCTGATTCGATCAAGACATTTGCTTGATATGTTCGAAGTCCACCTTTTGTCCCATTCATGTTAGATAGTTGAAATCCCCATGTCACTCTGAAACACTGGAAGAGCTTAGTAAATTGTAAATGAAGCAATACTGTGTTCCTCTTGACTTTTTTTTTTCTCAGTGTGTGGCTTTTGAAAGTCACTGTGAGTTTGCTGTCAATGTAGTGTGATCAAAAATTGATCCCTCCAAACTGGACCTTTTCCCAGCCAGGGTTATCTGGTGTGATTGTATAATTTGCATCAAGAAGTTAAAATGTTTTCATTAGTCTCTGTTCTGCTGATAGGCAGAGAGTCACATTGTGTAATTTAATTCCAGCCAGTGGTTGAATAACACCCATCATCAGAGTTGCCAAACGGTAGTAATGACAGTCTCTGACCTCTAAGGCACCCAAGACTATAAAAGGCACTACCAGTCCTCTGTGATACACCAGGTTGCAACACAGTTAACACTTTACATTTCTTTGCCTCGAAATTTAGGTATTTATACTAACATTTATATTTCCCCTATTGTTTGAAAAGTTCTAATTATTACTTAATGGTGCCAAGAGTTATTGTATTCTCCTTAGGAATTTAAAGCAACTCATCTTCATTAGCTTTAGCTGGTATTTCCTTACCAGGTTGATAAGAATTGTCAACATTAAGGTTAACTTTTAATAGTCTTAGTTTTGTTTTGTGCCTTTGATTAATAAATATAAATCTTTTACACAATAAATAGTGTTTTCCTCTAAAGTCATTGTGTTTAACTTTTGGAAAATCTGGGGTGGTTGTTTTCCACTGAGAAAGCTAAGCCCCATATTTCTACTTGGAGTACAGTTTTAGATATGAAATATAAAACTGAGGTCTTGACTCTCATTTTAAAAAAGTCCCTGTTTACATAAACTATTCCCTGTGAAAGGATTACATTCCTTGCTATGAAATAGCATATGCTTAGCATTCTCCTAGAGATCAGACTCTTTGTTGTATAGTTTACATTAAGAAGTTGGATAGGGAGAGGTATAACTTGTACCTTCAGGCTAGTAAGGAAATTAATAATTAAAATTGGAGTTGGAATGGGGGAATTCTTTCTTTGGTTTTGAGTTTCTTTCTATAACCATTAGTAGGACCTAGCTCATCTGATTGCCACACATTCACACAGTCCTTGAATTTGATGGTAAAGGGGAATCAATCACAGTTATAAGGAAAGTGGATAAAAACTACTAGTTGAAAAAGATTAATAATGAATTTTGGGGTACATGTTTTAAAGTACTTGGAGTTACTACAGAGAAAGGATATTCTCCATTAAAACATTTGATGCGTGACTTTTTTAATGTTTTATTTATTTTTGGCTGCGTTGGGTCTTCGTTGCTGTGCACGGGCTTTCTCTAGTTGTGGAGAGCGGGGGCTACTCTCCATTGTGGTGCGCGGGCTTCTCACTGCGGTGGCTTCTCTTGCAGAGCACGGGCTCTAGGCATGCGGGATCAGTAGTTGCAGTGCACGGGCTTAGTTGCTCCGCAACATGTGGGATCTTCCCGGACCAGGGCTCGAACCCGTGTCCCCTGCATTGGCAGGCGGATTCTTAACCACTGTGCCACCATGGAAACCCTGATGGGTGACTTTTGACATAAGGTATAGGGATAAAACAATTGAAAACTAGTGGCTTTCCAAATGCAGTGAATCAGAGTTATTGAAATAAGTGAAGCTAAAGAAGGATTTAAAGGACAATCAGATTTATTTTAAGGATAATCAGCAATTTTCAAATAGCTGTTTTTCACTAGGGTGGCCTAGAAGAACCTTTTAAAGTTTTCTTCAGTTTTTTTAAAAGTTAAATATTTTTCCTCATTATTAAAAAGAAAAAAAAACCCAGGACATATGGAAAGTAGGAAGAGAAAAAACACACTGCCTTGCCCTTAAGGTGGGTTGGTGTATTTATTTTTAAGGTGGGTTTATTTTGGATGGCCAATTACAAAAGTCCCTTCTAGTTAAGGTGTGCATGTGCACACTGGGCTGTAAAATCCACCTCCACCTTTGCAGTGTGCCAAAGCTATCCTGTGGGTTGTCTCACTTCCAGGCACCAGGTTGCCCACTGCAAGGCGGCTCTCAGCTCCACTTTGAGAAGCAGAACTCCACAGGGTATATTTTCTGAAAATGTGGAAAGCTTGGCAGCTTTGGCCTATTCCTGTGAGGTGTTGGGTTTACGTTGTAGGCATCAAACTTTTATGGAAAATAAATCCCTAATACAAGGTATAAATGCCATTTCTGTTTTTCCTCAGAGTTCACACAGGATTCTTTGAGATGATGTTTTTAACCTCCTGTCAGAATCCAAGTTGGTACTTTGACAGTGATGCCAGCCAGCCAAACTGATTAAATTATGAGAAGCAAAGCAGTGTATGCACTTTTGTGTGTGTGAAACTGAGGAAACTTTGGTTCCTTTGGACTATTCTGTATGGCTTTTGTTTGTATTTGTAGGAAAAAATCTAACACAAGCTGTAACTACCATTCCTCATGCATACATAAGATACATTGAGATTTGATATTTTTAAAATTTGCTGCCCTTCAAGGTTGACACCTTGCCTGTGATGTGGCAAACCAATCTTTTTTAATTCAAAAAGGAAAACAAAAGGCGAATATATCAGAAAAGAATACATAAACTGAAACACTTTCAGGGAAATGAGACTTTCATTTTTAAGCCATGGGTCTAAAGCTTCGCCCAGATTCCTCATGAGAGAAAAGCCATTATGATTTAATTATGGCTTTTCTATTAGGTACCCTCTACCCTGTGGAGCTTAGTAGACTTTGGCACTTATGAGAGCACAGCAAATGCTAATGAAATGAATGAGGGAGTGAATCTAATTACAATGGCTTCTTAATGTTCTGTGTGAAGTAAGTTGTTGATCTAAATATCTCATTCTATATAAGCCACTGTTTATATAATAGAAACCACCTGCCCAGTCAGAAACCACTTAACCTCGGAAACCACTGCTAACTTCCTCCCTGTCAAATCCCTTTTTGCTGCTTTTCTTTTTTGAAGTCTTTGCTACATGTGAGGCCACCGAAGATTCTTGGTTTTTGTTTTGACCTTGTAATATCCTGCTTTTCTTCCCTTTTACTGCTGTTTCTAGTTTACTTTGCTGTTTTAATTTCCTCCTACTTTTCAAGTGTGGCTGCCCCCCAAAGTCTTGCATTTGGCTTTCTGCTCTTAGGTTATGCTGACCTTGGAGGAACTGAATGTAGATAACACTTCAGTTGTGTGTTGGTAATTGTGACTTGCTTGTATCCCCCTCTCCCTCCAACACCCCAAAGCTTAGCATTCTGAACATTTAAAAATTCAAAAACCCCTCCTATAACATGTAGTGCATGGATAGTAGGCACATTTGATGCTGACTGAACTGGTTCCTTCACCAGGAATAACACAGTTTATGGCAATCGAGGAAAATGGGCCAGTTGCTCTGAGAGTTTATCATTGGCTCTGCTACATGCATTCATCAGATGAACATGAGTTCTTTGGGTAAGACTGTTATACTTGATCTGGTGGTGCTCTCATTACCACGTCCTCAAAGTTTTTATTAAAAAAAAACGGAAGTAGTGACTTGTAAATATTTCTCTCTTCCAACAAGTTTTTCACCACCTTTGCTGCGAAAAGACAATCTCAGTAGCAACATCCTCAAAGCAAATCAAACTGGCATGTGCTTGCCTGGATATAGACAAATCAATTCATGAATGGGTGCACACAGTATGTAAGCAGGTAATACAAATACTCAGAATCATCGTTGGAAAGGTATGGACACAGGGCAACACACCTGGGGTACAGATTAAGATTTTGAGAGGTGAGGGACTTGAGAGATTTTCTCTCTAAGTGCATGTCTTGACCTTCCTTAGAAGGAAAATGGCATCTAAGAGGAGGTAGACCCTTTCCAAAGAGTTATTTTTCCTACTCAGTTTCTTACTCCCCCCATCCCCAGCCACCGGAAGGTAAGATAACTAATGTTTACTGAGTACTTACTAATTGCCCAACACTTTGTAAGGTGCTTCAATAAACTACCCTGTGCAGGGAGGTAGACCTATCCCCATTTTTCAGAAAAACCACCAAAAACCTGAAGATTAGGTTAAATAGCTTGTCCAAGGTCACACAGCTAGTAAGTGGCAGATCTAGGATCTGACTCTGAAGCCCATGCTTCTTTCATTGAATTATGCTGCACCTTAATAACAAAAAGGCTCTAGGGATTATGTGATGCTGGTCCATGGCCAGAGAACAGGAGTAAGAAAAGCAATTCTCCTCCAAGTATCATTTAATCAGTCTTTACTGAATATGAAATCTTTAAAAAGGAAAACTTCATGAAAAAGAGTATCCTATTTTCTCACAACATGCTCTTGTAGGGTGTTAGCATACAATAAGTACATATTAAAAACAAACACATCTGTAGTTACTCCGTCTCCACAACGTTATTAAATCAAAGAAATGACTACGAAGAGTTAATCACAGTCTAAACATTAACCCCTCCCATTGTCTTTTAAGCATCTTTTCATACCGCCAGAGGCTTCCTAAAGTTCATAAGCTAATATTTCCCACTTTAGTAAAGATACTCCACAACACTCAGCTGCTTTCATAACATATTCTCTTGCAACTATCTTTAAACATTAAATGGAACCCCTCCCCCAAACCTCCGCCACACAGACACACACATGCTGGAGGCAGACTCACTCTCAACTCTGCAGGCAGAAATCCGAACCTTGCTTTTGGCAAATAGGTTTGTTTGCACATGCGCACATGCACGCGGATAATCTATCCCCCTACTGGACAGCAGCAATTTCCAAGACCGACAGGCCTCATGGTGCGCCCCAGGGCGTCTAGGGAGTTCAGAGCCGCACACCACAGCTCACTGCAGCCTTGAATTCAGCCCAATCGCAGTCTGACCCAAGCAGGGGAACAAGCAACACAGGCCCTTCTTTCATCGTCTTCCTCAGCCCCCACCCCGACCCTTCTTGGCCTTGAGCCCATGCTGGGCCTCTGACACTGGCAGAAGGAAAACTAACAGAAAGCATGCCATGGTAATTATTTGAGAGCTTGGCCTAAAGGCCTGAAGACATACCCAGAAGAATTCAGAAAATATCAAAAAGTTTAGGGAAAATTAAAAATGTAAAAATTTGACAGATCAAAGATAACCAATGTTTTGATTTAAAAATAGATGTTTCTTATCTACCAACCGAATGCATGAATTATAAAATGTATAAAAATTTCAGAGTTCAAGTGGTATAAAGTAATAAATTTGTCTCCCTTTCCTGCCCACCCTCATTCCCACTTCCCAGAGTGGGAATTACTGATAAAATTTCCTCGTGGGAAGGAGACCATCAAGATGGCGGAGGAGTAAGACGTGGAGGTCACCTTCCTCCTCACAAATACATCAGAAATACATCTACACGTGGGACAACTCCTACAGAACACCTGAACGCTGCCAGAAGACCTCAGACTTCACAAAAGGCAAGAGACTCCCCATGTACCTGGGTAGGGCAAAAGAAAAAAGAAAACAGAGACAAAAGGATAGGGACGGGACCTGCACCAGTGGGAGGGAGATGTGAAGGAGGAAAGGTTTCCACACACTAGGAAGCCCCTTCATGGGGGAGATGGGGGGCGGTTGGTTGGGGGGGAAGCTTCGGAGCCACGGAGGAGAGCGCAGCAATAAGGGTGCAGAGGGCAAAGCGGAGAGATTGCCGCACAGGGGATTGGTGCCGACCAGC